AATTTATTTTTATTTTCCATATTGGAATATTGTCGCATTCTTGTTGTGATATAATACTTAAGGATAAACATTAAAATTTCACTAAAGTAGTATACATTAAATACTAAAATGCTAATACCTAAGAGCTATAGGTGCGTATAAAATGAATTAAACTATTGTAATTATAAATAGAAATAATATACAAATATGTATATGTGTAACAAATGCTAAATATTATCAATAGGTAGAGCCACATTTGTCCATGTACTGCAAGCGTAAACATTGGTTCCAGATACCCGCACTCCTCCCGTCTATCGTTTCCAGTCCTGTTTATCTTGGTCCATATGTGTACTGACGACTAATCGCAGAATCGCTTTGCCATCTTCTAGTTTCTACCCAGCTGTCAAGAGTTCACGACACCGGCAGACGATGACATAATATTATTATACAGCCACGAACAAAGCGTCAAAGTCCTCAGTTCCTCACGGACCGAATCTGTAAACTGATTCGGATCGTTCAAATTACCGAAATTTCCCACCTCTATTGACAAGTATATTTATGGGTAAAAATATAAAATATTAAACTTGTTAAAGTTAAATACTCAATGGTTAAATATACAATTATTGATTATGAGTTACATGATTAATTAACTAACTTAGTTAATCATGATGAGTTATTAGTAATAACTTATTACTAAGTGCATCATTTAAGGTGCAACTGATAAGATTTTATATTTTTACCCATAAATATACAATTATTGATTATGAGTTACATGATTAATTAACTAACTTAGTTAATCATGATGAGTTATTAGTAATAACTTATTACTAAGTGCATCATTTAAGGTGCAACTGATAAGATTTTATTGTTTTGGTTTTTCAATGGTTTGGTTGTTAATAGGATAATCATTTGTTTGAAAGATGTTGTCGATATTTACATAAGTATTAAGTACTATCTTGTAATTTTTAGGTAAAATAATATAATTAATATCCCTGTAAGCATAAATTTAAAGACATAAAATGAATCAGGACTCAGGAGTATGGATTGAATACCTATTAAAAACGATAGTATAGAAATGGATAATCCAGTCTTATATTTCAATTGTTCAAGACCATTTATATTCAGGTTTATTGCATCATTTGCATCTAAGGCACTTTCAATAAATGCATATGTATTGTTTGTGATTCTTTCTATGCCTAAACTTAAAAAAAGCTCCTAGTAGGCGGCTAGGCTGACTTCTAACTACGTAAACATAATTTGTACTTAAACCGTAAATTTAATTTCACTATATAGTTTCTTATCAAAAATATGAAAAACTCACTGCCCCGTGGCGCGATCTCGGATCTACTAAATTACCACGATACTCTTGATATTCTTTAAATTTATTAAATAATAATAATTTAAATAATTAATATTATATTATAATAATTAATTATTATTATATAGTACCTACTTCATAATACTTTATGATTGAAAACGTAGAAGAACTTTACAATGTAATTTTTTTAAATAAAAATCAATTTTATATTGGCATTTAATAGCTTTCCAATCTAATACCAGCAGCTGCATCCTTTATCGCTGTTTATGACGTGTATACTATTGCTATATACTGTAGTATATTAACAGTCATACAGAATAAATTTCTATATATTATTTTCTATTTTGTGGTATGGCTAAATAGTAAATAGTAAAATGCCGTCTGGCCGTCTGGGATTATTGTTTTTGGTGCCAACATTTAGTGATAGGCCATGTTGGCACTGGAAGCGCTAGTATCCAGTGAGTAAAAACATTTATTTGATAAGAAACTTTTTCGCCGTAATGTACCGTGGGATTGTATGAATCGTCGCTCAACCATTCTATTTTAAACCGTGTCATACACTAAGGTAGTGTAGTTCTCAGGTCCACCAGTGTGGTGTGGTATCAGTGTTCGAGTGTAGTGTGCACTGGACAGTCTTACACTAGTCAGAATAGAATAATAGATGGAAAACGCTATAAGACAATTAGTGCCTATACTAAATCGGTTAAAATACTAAAATGATAATTTATTAATTCCTAATTAATAAATAATTACTATAAATGATAATGGATAAAATCGTGTACTCAACCAAGTTGACGTCTTGTGAAAAAAAAAAAACGGAAAATCCCTTTTATTGAAAATTAAGCTAGTTCGGTATGTTGGTAATATTCATTTATTGATTTTTCGATTTAATTTCTCACTTTCTTTAGCTTTTTGCGTTTATATATTTATATATTATATGAACTTCAAACATACTACACACTTTGAAGTTTGAATGACATTTAAACAAGAATAAGGGAGTCAATTTATTTCCATTAAATATTTAGTATTTACCGTATTGGCCGAAACATTTTATCTAACTTTCAAAAATTAAGTTTTGGGTGTGTCCGTCTCATATCAGTTCAGATGTTATCGAAAACAAATGATCATACTGTTAACAAGGTCTCTTTCGGTTAAGGCGTGTTCCAGTCCAGAAAKTGTCTATTTTAATTAATTACATTTTCTACTTTTAGTTACTTTATCCACTTAAAAGTAAGTATAGAAGGGTTTCGTCTTATTTTTTTTCTGATTCATTTTCATACTTTTTATTTATACATACGTTTTAGATTATTATATTCATTAGTCTCAGTATTTGGCCCTGCCCATTTTTTTTGCACCAATCCATTAATGTTGTCTTTTGATTGATTTAGGTACTAAGCCATTTTGTGCATATTTTTTTAACTGTATCTCTGTACGATGTCGGAATATTGGCTGATATCTGCTCCTGGAGACAAAACTTGTCAACAAACCTGGGAAACCCTCAATAATGTTACTAGCAAGCAGAATAGTTTGTCCATCAATTACAAATTTCACATACCTGACTTGAAGGTGGGCACTTTGGATCAGTTAGTGGGATTGTCTGATGATTTGGGAAAATTGGATAGTTTCGTTGATCAAGTTACCCATAAGGTAGCATCTTACTTGGGGGAGGTACTGGAAGACCAACGAGACAAACTGCAAGAGAACTTGATGGCTAATAATGGTATGTATTATTTAGAATGATTTTTTTTCAACCCATTGAATAACAATGACGAAAATCCAATGTAGCTCAAGTGACTTGTCTCTGTAGTGTACTTACCTGTCCTACYTACTTTTTTGAAACATTATTATTTATATCCTGGATTTTTATTGGTCATTTTAGTTAAGTTTTTCCTTCACCCTTGCATCCATGTGTCAATATTAATACATATAATTTTCATATTATTAATTTATTTGTCATCTACGATGGAAAAACATTTAAAGCTAAAAAGGCCAAAAAAAAAAATATATATTTATATTTATAGAATCTAAAATGCACTATAATTTATTTTATTAGAAATATAACATTTGGTACTATTGTTATAGTATATTTAAGTTAATTTAATTTATCTACTACATGCCAAAATAAAAAACTTATGCATCCTATAGATGGTTGCGTGTGTGCGTGTTCACAGTCTATTTTCCTATATTGTGATCAAAATTTTTAAAGCACAAATTTTAAAATATAAAATTATGAATATTCCATAAATGATTTATTTATAGCATTTTGATTAGTTAAAAAATTTTTGGACCTTTTTGTTCACTCATCTAGTCTTATAAATGTTATGTTTACCACAGACTTAGATAGATAAATAATATACGTAATACATATAATATATTATAAATTGCACCAAAGTGTTTCAAATATTTTCAATAGAAGTTTAAAGTAATTCTTTTGCACATTCAAAAATAATAAATTCATTTTGTTTCAAAATGTATTTTAATTTATTTATCATGTGACTTGTGTAAAAGGTAGTTCTTTTTATGGGTCAAAATACAAATTTATAATTGTATTGTATAAATTATAATTACCTATTCAGGAATTAAAATAGTAAAAGATCTATTTACATTATTTGTAATAAGTTTTTTTTCCTATGACCATTTGATTTAAAAATATAGTATGTTTTAATATTTTATTTTCCACAAAATTAATAGTTTAGCATCTYAATTACTCCATTTAATTTAATATAAAAAGAGTAAGTTTTTCTCATCCAACTGATATTGAATGATAATGTTAAGCACGGCTATTTAAATGAATTAGTTTAATGAAAATGAATAGTAAATATAT